ATTTAATCAAATTATTTTCTAATTTTTTTAATTTGAAAAACCAATGACAGAATATTTTTTTTAATTAAAATAAATTTCATCAATATTTTTTTTAAATATAAGTATTTTTTTGCAAAATGTATGTATTTTTGGTATATTTGTTTCATTTTATAGATGTAAATACTTTTTCTTGTTTAAAAACTGTTTAAGGACTTAATCGTTTAAAATATGAAAGTCCATTGGGTTTTTTTCCAGACTTTTTTCATTATTTTACCACATTAACTAGTTTTATAGGTCATAAGAAAGTATCTAACAAGTTTTAAAAAGTCGAAGGAGTTATTTATAGGTTTGGAATGGCCAATGACTTATTGGTTCCAAAAAATTGTCCAAGAACTTAATCATTCCAAACATTAAAAACCGTTGAGTTTTTTTAAACTTTTTCCTAAATAAAATTACCTTTTTTTAATCCCGATTTATAATTGCTGACATTTTATATTGCATTAATTTTAATAACTCCAATCTATTTTATATTAGAGTGTGTTGATTTGTATAATAACTTGGTGTGCCAAATTCTTAACTCGAAGTCTTTTGCTAAAAAAACATACGACTGAAATAAAATAATGACTGTAATTTTGCAATTAAACTGTTTCATTTTGAAATATTAAGTTATTATTTTTGTAATCTATATTTATACTATATTATAAAGCATTTGATAAAAATTCTTAAAAACCATTTTTATGCATAAAGTATTGTTTATTGATGCATATTACTTAAAAATCAAAATTAGAAGTAAATTGTGCATAAGTACAACTTATTAAATCTTCATGTTTGAATACGTGTAACTAACTGCGGATAAACATAATCAAATAGAGGATAAACATCTTATTTTAAAATATAAAAAATCTAAAATATAATTAAGATAATTATTGAGTTCTACAAAGTAATTAATTATTATATTTATAAGAAAATTATATTATTAAACCAAATATAAATTATTTCGTTACTGAACCTAAATTAAATTATAATAAAAAAATTGAATTAAAAAATTACATACAAATAGGAATTTTAAATAGTTAATTTGATACTAATATCGATATATTTTTGTCAAATTTTTATGATATCTTCAAATTTATATTTTATTCAAAAATAAAAACATCATCGTTTTTTCAAAATCACATAAAACCATATTATAACATTTATTGAGATAAAAGAATAAAATGAAATATTAAAATCAAGATGTATCTCGTTGCATTGCGCGAGTACCCTTCTAGTTATATAATAAAGCATTTGACAAAAATTCTTAAAAACTCTTATGACCACGGATGTTCAAATGCGGTGACTCCAAGTTAATGAGATTAGCCGGCTCGCATAGAGGGTTGGATATCCAAGTTAATAAAAAAAATCCTAATTTATCATCATTACGATGTCGTTTTTAGTGAAGTGGATGTGAATTATAATTAAAGAGCAGAAATAATTTGTGAAATATTTTGGATAAGAAAAAAAACAATTAAGATTTTAAATGCTTTTTGATGTCATTGCTTACGTAATTTAAAACAAAATTTTGATGTCATTGAATATATGTCATGAATATTAAATCTGTAACATTTAATTTAATTTAATTTATTTAATTTTTTTGAACTCTTTTTTTTAAGTAGAGGAAGTTATTTTTCATGTTTTATCATTGCTCAGTTTTTTTATTAACCTGGATATCTAATTCGTTATCGACCCGACTAATCCCAAAATGATCACCTGTTTTGCACGTAGTCCGAAGTCACGACATTTGAACATTCGTGGCCACAAGAGGATTTTTGTTCCTTCTTGGATTTGAACGTGAAACCTCCTGACACTTTTGACCTTTGGAGTCAAACTCAAACAATCATGCACCACCCTTATGGTTACCCTTAACCATTAACCATTCATAATTTCATAATTATATTTCATAATTTCATTGTAAACAATTATCAAACAATTATATTTCATTTTGCACTATATCATGAGAGCCTCTTAATTGTCCTCACCACTTAATCATTATGCACCAAATCATTCAGCAACTGTCAAACAATCCCTAAGCTATCAAAATGCTACCCCAAACAACGTTTCAATAAGCTAGTTTATGTGCATCAAAACGTGCACCCGAAAAATAAGCTAGCTTATTTTTGCCAAACGATGTTTAAGCTACATAGGATTGCATTTAGCTCGACTTTTATCATTCGACAACTGGCAGTAAGAATGTCAAATGCCACACATAATGGCTAATTTAATCATTTTGCTCCATTTTTAATCTAATTTCATAACTAAGTAACGAATATGTAAAAAACGAGAATCACAAGTGATTCTAGTTTCATTTTGAGAACCTCTTGTGTGTATATGAAGATGTAATCAGTTATGCTCGTCTTCCGATGATAGTACAATTATAGGAATGATTAGTTAGTTTGGTAACGACCGAATATCTTACAACATCAATTGCAATTGGTTCATCGTCACATGGAGAATATGTACAAACTGAAGTTTTATTTATAATACTTATAGTTGAAGTTTTGTATATATGTGGTTCGAGTTAAGTTAGATACAATATATATAGAGATAGGAGGATTATTTTACAAACCACGTTATTTGTACAAATCGTACAAACCTTATTCAACCAATCATAATTTTTCATTTTGTTCA